CATCAGTTGTGGTATTTTCATTAAAAATTGGTCATCTGTCCATTGTTTATACAGCTGGACTTGAATCAATTTTATCACTTAAACAAAGTGAAAAGGAGAAAATAGAGAAAAAAAACCACCGTCCACCGTATGAGGAAGTTTGGAAATCTCTCACCATAGTCGACCCCACCCTCCAACCCGACAACCATCTCTTGCTTTCGTCCCTCCCTTTTTTTCTCCTTCTTCGTCTCGCATATCTGTTTGATAATGGTTTCTCGGACATATGTGCAATTGAATCTTTATAAGGCTTTATTTGTGAATGATCGATCTGCCTACTCTTCAATCTTCAAAAGTTTCAAGTTAAGGACATCAAATTGTTTTCCAGATTGAATTTAAAATTTACATGAAAAGAAAAAAGAAGATAAATGAGAGAGGAAAGGATGAGGAGATACCCGAGAGTAAGGAAAAGAGAAGGGAGGGGGGGCAGGGCGGCGGAAAGAGGCACTGCGGGTTGGGTTCTGCTTTAGTGAGTCGGGCTATTGGGGTGGCGGTCCTTTTTTTTTCTTTCTCCTTTTTCTGGCGTTTTTATCTTTAATTTTATATTAAAATAGGTTCTAAATTCAGCTTCAAAAATAAAGAACAGATGACAGGTTTCCAACAGCGGTAGCATGAGTGTTGTGGTAATACGGTAACACCAAATAATTTCTCGTGAATTTATAGTTTGATTCATAGTGCATGCTTTGCTAATTATGATGTACATACAATTAAAACTACCAGCGTAACATGTTTTTAGGAAAGCTAATGGTGTAACCGTGTAGCTAGCTTAGTGTACCTTCTATAACCTTGCCACTGAACACTGAACAATAAGTGTCTTCAATAAAATTATCGTTTTTCTCTCAAAAACTTAGGCTCATGTACTAGGTAATTAAGGTCATCTTCACTCGAAGGACCATCCGATGGCTTGTTTTAGTCCTCTGATTTTCCAAAAAATTAATATTTTAATGAACAGTACATGATTATATTGCTTAACATCTCCAACCGAGGGCCAAAGGGCTAAACATAATTTATTATTTAAATTAAAAAACTACAACAACTTAAATTTAAAAATTACAACTTAAATTTAAAAACTACAAATTAAATTTAATGTTGTTTAATGGAAGTTATAGGGGAAAAAAATAGAATTTTAATTTTTTTTTAAAAAAAAATTGTAAAAAAGAAGAAGAAAAAACTATAAAAATAAATAAATAAATAAAAAATAACAGCTAGCCGTTGCATTCAAATCTGTGGCCTGGCCTAGGGCTGGCTAGCTGGTTGGGTTGGGCCAGCTAGTTGGCCCTTTGGCCCTTTTTTGTCCCGTAGGACCCACGAACCCTTTGGCCTAATCCTCGGTTGGAGACAGTTTTCAAACTATTTTCGATCCTCTGAACCATTTGGTTGAAGATGACCTAAACTGTCAAGTGCAAACAGTTAAGGTAAACAAACTGTTCTCGGAATCTTTCCATGTCTCTCCCCTGTTCGTACGTCCTCGTGTCTGTATAACGTTAGGATCTCTTAAGGACTAAAATTTGATTGGAAAAGTGCAGGTCAATTAGAGCAGTACTACTACATTGGAATTAATCAAAGGATTGCTATAGTTATAAAATAAAATAAAATGACGATCACATCACATCCTAGCACACCAACGTTAATCACCTGATGAGCTTGTCATAAGAAAGATATCTTCACCAATACTTTCCTCAAACTAATAACACGATGGGGCAATAATTGTTTTACTAATCACAGATATAGGAGGTACATTAAGCTTGCTAATCTTAATTAATCATACCATGATCACCGATATACTTCACAAATCTTATCCTTTTTCAGGTGGACCATGTTCTAAACCCCACACTTACCACTTCCCAGTCCATCTTTACATTTCAAAACCACAAAAAAATGCAATCACACAAACTTCTTATTAAATCTAAATTTCCAATTTTTAGGTTTTTCTGTATTCAACCATTCACAAACCCATATTTATACAACATTTAACCTCATGGAGGAACTCAAAGGGCGATTGTGGTGTTTTAGCAATATAATTAGGAAATATTTTTGTTCCTCTCTCTCAAATGATGATGATGATGATGGTGATGACGACGACGACGATGCTCACCACTCTATTTATAACCGTTAAATAAGTTTAAATTTCGAGATATATGTAGTGGGTAGACATAAATCTTAAAATTTATTCATCCAATAATAATAGGATGATAAGTATTACCATCACTTGATAATAATGAGAAAATGCCCTCATATACTTACGTAAACAGGTAGATATATATACTTGTCATGAGATCAAATGCTGCCATTTGTAGCAATCCAAACATGGCCACTTTGAATCCCCTGTTCGGGCGTGATGGTCAAAAGCTATATGAGATGGAGCGCAATACCATTTTTTTTTTCTATGCTATAATCGCCCACCAAAAGACAAAAAGAAGGTTTGCTTCACAGATGTCATGATTTGAACTACTCCTTAGGCTTGACATATTTCTACAGTGGTGAATTTCTCGTTTGAATGTACTTTTAAAATAGTCGAAAGCGTTTTTAGTGAAAATATTTTTAGAACCAATCCTTATTAAAGATACAAGTAAATCCTGAAAAAAAAAACACTTAAAGTGTTTTCTGGAAGAAGCAAATAATTAGTGCTTCTTACAGAAAGCACTTTAAGTGTTTTTGAAACCCAAAACATTTTCTCTAAAAGCATTTTTGGTCATTTTAAAAACACATCCAAACGAGCCATATGAGTAAGTGAGTACTTATTACTATAGTCTAGTGGGGTTTTTTTTTTTTTTAATTTTGATTTTTTGATTTTTTTTTATATACTTGTAAGTGAGAGGTTTTAGATTCGATTTTCGCCAAAGGCGAATTTGAAAAACATTATTGCTAACCAATTGTGAGGCTAATATCAAAATGTGCAAAATTATTATGAGTAATGTTACAGGTATCATATTTAATTACTGATTACATCGACCTCTCATCTAACTGTAAAGCAAGTGGCCCTTTACCACAATGGTGAAAATGTGTTGTGCCCTTGCATGACGGTGTGGGTTCGAACTCCATCAGTGACTAATCTAACATTTAACTTACTAACGCTATCACTTGACTCAAAAAAAAAAAAAAAAAAAAAAAACTCTGTAAAATGAAAATTGCTTGAGAAAAGCAAGTTCAAAGCCTTTCTCACTTTTTTTTTTTTTTTTAAGAGCAATAGTCGGTGCTTATATCGAAAACAATATTCCAACTGTTATATGGAAATAATTGATTGTTTTTGGAGATTGTATGCAGTACTAATTCATGATATGACATGTACATAATAAAATTTCACTCTCAACTCTACGATAGTTTTCATAAAAGTCTTTCATTTGCTTCTCTTCAATGCATATCCTATTTTTTTGTCATAATTCTTCTAATGATGGATTCAACCTTTGATATGGTTATATTTCACCTCTTGAATAAGTTCAATAATGATCATAACAGCCCTATTGCTCCTATTGAGAGAACTTATGGTTAGATTTTTCAGAAATTTCTAAATGAACAATTTTCAACGAAAACTACATCCATTCATATTTGGACATAATTTCAACCTTCGTTACTGTTTAACCAGGTAGAAATTTTGGGTGCTTTAGATTTTGGCCCTTACAATTCATTATTTGAAGATAAAAACCCATCTATTTTTAAAGATCTAATTTAAGCCCAAATTTAAAATTCGCAAACATATAGGAACACTATTGACCTATTAATACAATTTATTTACACTCATGCCACTCATACTTTATGGTCCCTTTTCCAAATTCCTAAATTTATGCCAAATTAAAAGTAGTAGAAAAAGTGAAATAAAATGAAAAAAGTGTTTGCATTAACCGTATCTATGTCAAACTAGAAAAGTAGTTTTTTTTTTCGTGATATATTTTGTAGCAATTTTATCCATATTAATTGGTAGGTAAATTATTTTTCATGTATTGTTAGATATGTTAGGCACGTTTTATTGTTGTATAAACATGGGTGTAACATACTATTTTTAATACCATACATCGAACTACATTTCTTCTTAATATACATCGAATTACACCCATGGTATAATTGTTCGTAGGTAAATTAATGTGCATGTAGATAATGAAATACAATGTTCTAATATATTAATAAAAAAAGGGATAAATTCAAAAGTATTCAAGAGTAGGGTGAAAAAACTAAATCAAATAGTTTTATGAAAATTCAATACCTTTCTAAAAAATTAACATGCAATAAATTTTGAACATTAATGTCTTTTTTTTTTCTTGTCACAAAATCATTTACTATTTCCTTACAATTAATTGTCTACATCAAGTATGTAATAGGGGTATTTTAGGCATGTGAAAAATGTAAAATGTGTGAATTAATATGAAGTTAATGAATTTGTTTATGTGGATCCTAATCATTGGGTTTTCTTTGAGTAAAAAAGTTATGTAGGGTTTTATATAAAGAAAATTAAGTTTGAAGGGCTAAAGTCATATTTTCACAAATTTTTAATGTCGTATGTCATATATAATTAGTTAATGACTAAAACTTGAGAATCCTATTGAGGCTATTATATTACTACTATGAGAGATGCGATCAATAAAGTAATCAACAAGCGTGATAGAAGAAAATTTATTGAGAAGTTTCTGGGAATATTGAGAGGTTTTGGCGGTTGAATGAGCTTGAAAGTACTGCCAAAGCTAGCCAAAGAGCCGGAGTACTCCTAGAGAAACAGCTAAAAGCAATAGAAAGTGATAAACCGAAAAAGGAAGTGGCTTAGGAGGTGTCACGTGAAAGAGGAGCTAAGGAAGTTAACCTTTCCAAATATGTAACGTAAGTGTGTTGCACAATAGTTAAAAATACCGACTCACATTTGTTGAGTTGTCATTCACAAATATGCTTGTTCTAATGTCATGGGTGCTTGGCTTTTCTGTACTAGAGCCACCTACTGCTAAAGCTAATAAAGTAATCATCACAATTCAGCCTTCATGCAACAACATAGCGTCAACTTCTCTCTATAAATACCAAGGACCCTTTGTATTCAGGATCTCGTGGCAAAGACGGAATATCAGAAAGATATAAGAGGATACAGGGCTAAGCTATATAGCTTCATAGCAAAACCCTGTTCCTTCAGTTTCAGTTTCAGTTGCTACACATCTCCAAAGAGAGAACTCCAGCTACCATGACTGCATCAACTTCTCACCATCCATTGGCCTTTGCCTTTGGCATTCTAGGTATAACAATATATTAGCATTCCGCTCACCCCTTTTCTTCCCATGCACACCCCTACTTATTTGTGATCTTTGGATTGAATAAGGGGAGGAAATAAACTGAATAGTGCTAAATCGTTTCTCTTTAGTTTTCCTTATTCTACTTTTCTTCAATAGAAACTAACTTCTCTTCTTCTTACGATGTTCAATTTAAACAGGCAACATTGTCTCATTCATCGTTTTTCTAGCTCCGCTGTAAGTTTCTTTTCTTTGTTATTTATTTCAGGGATAATGAGGCAATTAACGAGATTTAAGTAGTTATTTAACTTCGACTAATGTTTTGGGTGATGCAGGCCGACATTTTGGAGGGTGTATAAAAGGAAATCGACGGAGGGATTTCAATCAGTTCCATATGTGTTTGCACTATTCAGTGCAATGATATGGATATACTATGCATTCCTCAAGTCTCATGTGATCCTTCTCATCACCATCAACTCATTCGGTTGTGTCATAGAGACCATTTATATTGCAATTTACCTTACATATGCAACTAAGCAAGCGAGGGTGAGTAGTGCCACCTTCGCAGTTCGATTAGTTTAGCTGAATTCCATGTAGAATATGACTTATATAAAGGACTTAATTAGAATTAATAAATTAAATTTGGTTGCAGGTGTCTACTCTGAGGCTGCTTTTACTGGTGAACTTCGGGGGATTTTGCTTGATTCTTCTTCTGTCTCGCTTCTTGTCACAAGGGCCGACCCGCGTCGAAGTTCTCGGATGGGTTTGTGTGACTTTCTCTGTCGGTGTCTTTGCAGCACCTTTAAGCGTCATGGTAATTGATTAATCAAGTACCGTAATCAAATCCTTAAAGGTTTAACATAATCTCAATCTATATGCATTAAGATATTAATATATGCATGATTTGATTGTGTGTTACAGAGAATGGTTATCCGCACCAAGAGCGTGGAGTTCATGCCGTTTAATTTATCCTTCTTCCTCACCCTAAGTGCCGTTATGTGGCTCTGTTATGGCTTACTCCTCAAGGATCTCTATGTTGCAGTAAGTCATTTTATTTGTGTATAATAAAACTAATATTTATTATTTTTACGGCTATTCCTGTTTAATTAGTAAGCTAGGTGTATCGGTTAACCTGTCCTTAATTGTGGAATAACTTTCTTTTGACGATTTTTAAAATAGAAAAATCTGGTGATTATATGTCAATGTGTGCCACCACGCATGTATAACGCTAGCTTGATTACATCAAGCTTTAACTGGTTTATATCGTGGCAAACAAAAAAAAGGCCGTGATAACCTTATAAAGGTTAAAAGTGTACTAGATAATAGAATAATTTAATTAAAAGGCATATGCTGATTATAAGGAAATGGAAAAAAAATCAATCATTTGTTATGCAAACACTGTCCCTTAATGGATCACCCTCTTACGCCAAGTTTCATTTAGTGACATATATGAAAGCAACAAGAACTATTTAAGAAGCTACAATATATTGTTCACAAAATTTAATAAGGTTACTTTATCGCAATTTATTTTGATATATTCGCATCCCATATGCACTCAAGTTTTTGAATTTTCCTCATATGAATTTAACGTAGAATATTGTTTGTATAAGAATATATCCGTTGACTTTAATTAATTAATCACATGATCCTTTCATTTGCAGACCCCAAACATAATTGGTTTCTCCTTTGGGGTGGTTCAGATGGCCCTCTATACAAAGTACAGGAACACCAAAACCATTGTGGAGGAAAAGCTACCAGAACACAAGGCTGATGTTGTAAAGCAAATCACAATTTTAACTACTACTCCTGAGGTGGAGGTACAAGTCCAAGCACCTGTAACCTCGGATGCCAATGGTACTGATGATCATCAAAACTCTGAGCTTAACACTGACCAACATGTGCATGCACAAACATGCCGCAACGAGAAGATCATCGAACCATCCATGCCAGGCCAACTAGTTACATGTGAAGTTTGAATATTTATCATCTGCCGTTTGCCTGCTTGTACCTGAATCAATCGAGCTCGATCGCTCTATATAAATGTTTTGGACGTCATGATGCATATGTATCATCGTGTACATATGTCCTTTTGGTGCGTCTTTAGTTTTCCATGATGTTTAATTTTCCTTTATCTTTGTGTAAGCATATGAGGCTGGTTCATGTTTAGACTAGCCTCCTCTTGTTCTTTCTAGGGAATAACGGTCTTCACAGTAATTATGTATGTTTCTTGGCCGTTTATGAAATAAAATTTGGTCTTAATTTAAGCTGAAGAGAAAGAAGGGATTTTGGTTTATGAGCGCATTAATTGAAATCCTAGATTTTCATCATCGGACAAGATTGCTTTATTCATTAATTGTTGAAGGGTAATGCTAGATAGACTAAATTTGTAGATTAAATATGCAAACTAAATGATGTATCACCAATAAAAATAAGCATGTTAATCAACGCTGAAGTAATAATCCAATCAACTTCCATGTCATGTGGTTTACAAGATTTTATTTACAAATTTAATCTCTATATCATTACCCATTGTTGAAACCAGCAAGCCTCGGATTGGATTTTGGTTTTTGTCCTGGTACATTATTTTGAACAGGTACACAATTTTACAGGTAGATTAATTTATATGCATAGGTATAGTGATAATATATCAGTGTACATAGGACTATAATATAACCATGTATATATTCAAAATTATGTACGTACATAAGAAAAAGTACTAGAACAAAAATTCAATTTAACACTCAATTTTCATGGAAATAAATTTATTTAATTAAGGACGCAAATAAATATTTTCCAAAAAACAAGTTTAGTGTTTGTGAAATAGTGTTGTATAATGAATTTATGAACTAACTATACTGATATGCATTTAATACAATCACTAAGTTAACAACGAATAACATCGCCAAAAACAATGCCACGTTAGCCTAATCAGACAAATGAAGCTAATCGCTTACCCAAGTAAATCCCCATAGACTAAATTCGCTAGTCTCTCACTCTAAGCCATGTAAATCCAAACGGTACACCATATGTTACTATACAAATGGTGGAATATGTGTATTAAAAAGTTAATAACTTAAAAAATAAAATTTCCCACTACTTCTATAAAAACACATGGTGTACCACTCGTATTCCGGTCACAATAAAAAATTTCTTCAAATTCTAGGTCTCAACACAAATGATACAATAATGGATGTATCAACATCCGCTGAAATGTCCAGAGACCAATGCTCTTTTTCCACCAAAAATACGCCCGTAATAGTTTAACATGTATGATTAACCTAAGTTACAATTTAACATGTATATTTAAAGATCAGGAGAAATCGAATCTCCTTAGCAATCTTTCTCGTTCTTTCGAAAAATACATTGAGTTTAACCTAAAGAATACATAGAAACCAATTAAAGTCGTATAATAGAGGTAGCACTAGACTTTGTTTTTAGGTATGTTTTTGTATGTTGTACACATATTGGTTCTATTGCTGTCATTAGGAGCATAACTGGTAGTGCTTGTTGCCACGTTTGCATGTACGCTACCTTCCCAGCTTTTGGTGTATTCTTTTTTTTTTTTCGGTAACAAGCTTTTGGTGTATTCAATTCAACCATATTCTTCCATAGACGACAAGTATGACAATATATATGACATTGTTCCTTGCATTACGTAAGAGAAAATTATAAACAATAGTTACAATCATGTATAAAAAAAATTCAATAATACAGGGCGGAAAATCTTTACGTGTAATGATCACATAACGAGTTTTACTTAAATCTTTTTTTCTTAAGTTTTACAATTGTGTTAACTTGTTAATATGATAAGCTTTATTAATGGCTTGGTGCCTCATGATATTGTTGATATTATTAAAGCCATATCCGTTCCTCTGGAGCTTTGTTTGGGGTTCCCAAAACTAAAGATAAATTCACCATCAAATCAGCAGATATATCGATTGTGCGGATTACTACTATGTTTTTTAACACTACTCACATGAATAAAGTGTGGACGTCATGCATTCCTCTGAAAGTAAGTTATTTGCTTGGCTTCTTATTCGAAAGAGACTCAATACGAAAGAGAGCAAGTTCGTCCTTGGGAGAGCTCTTGCTGCCATATATGTAACCTGGAAGATGAGTGCGTAATCACTTATTTTTAAGATACCCTGTTGCAATGCAGATTTGAACCATTGCCCCTCTTCAGTTAATCCTGTTGGACAGGGTGATCTGATTCATTGGCTTGATAATCTTGATGCCAATTCTAACTTGGATGTTGGCTTGTCTCCTCTTTCCCTTGCTCTTATGATTTTCTGGTAGTTGTGGAAAGATCGGAACGATTGGCCGTTTAATAAACAACTTTCTATTGTTTCTAGGGTTTTTCATAAAGCTCTGGTGATTGTCAATAACTATCGCGATTGTAATTCTTCTAAAGGAGTTAAATCTGTTCCTCCTGCGATCGGTTGGAAACCTCCGGATTATCCTGCTTTCAAGTTGATACTGATGGGTCTGTAATCTTGGATGGGTTTGTAATCTGGTGATTGGCAATAACTATCGCAAGCTGCTTGTGGGTTCGTACTTTGGCTTCAGACTGGATCTCCGATTCTGGCTAGCGCCAGGAAGATTGGTGTTGCGAATGTTCCGGTTGCTGAAGGAAAGAAGGTCTTGGAGCAGCCTTTCAGAAAGGTCTAAATTTCCTGAAAGTGGAGGAAGATTCAAAGACGCTTATTGATTCGATCAATGGAGACATTAATTTTTGCTCCTTGGAGGACACGCTCGATCTTGTTCAATATTCAGAGGTTGGCCTGCAAGTTTCAATCAATCTGCTTCTCTCATTTTTTAGAGAGGTGAATTTTGTAGTGGATGCCCTTGCATCGAGTGGTCAGAACTCTTGTAGTGATTTGAGGTGGATGCAGTCTCTTCTAGTGATTTCAGTTGTTAAACTTACGCCTAATTTGACATCTATATAGTTCTCTTCTTCCAAAATATCCAGTGCATAACGACATATGCACTCTTATGCATTTAAACAATTTTATACAATATTCAAAAGTTTAAATTAGAATTGCATTCTATAATAATATAAGATGGCCTATTAAAAAAAAGAAAAGAAAACTATATAAGATAGATAGCATGCAATAACTATTTAAAAAAAATAGAAATTTCTTTCATTCTCAATAAAAATACAAAAATAAAAATGGGACCATTTTCGACTTGGATAGGATCAAGAGTAGGATATTTTTGTAGTGGGATCTTTCTGTGTTTTATTTTATCAATGCTTACAGTATCGGAGCAATCGTCTCATAGACCCTTTTTAATTTAGGGGTGTGATATCCACACATCCCATTTTACTTCTCACATATTTTTTTAATTTTCGGTCGTTGGATCGGATGAATTGAAGAAGATCAACGGACAGAAACTATCAAGGGGTGTGTAAGAAGTAAAATGAAGTGTGTGAATAGCACACCGCTTAATTTAATAGTGTTAGGAGAGTGCCGACGAACATAATGGACAATTTTCAAAATCTATAACCAATAAACTTTTCTTTACGCCGACAAACCTATATTATGTAATACTAGCCTTCATGCACGCGCTCATGCACGTGTAGAAGACATTTTTTGAATCACGGCGTGTTACTCGCGACTTATATGTTTTAAATGTATTTATATGCATAAATTGACAAAAGGAAAGTCGAATATTTGAAGTAAATGAATAATCTTAGATCATCCTAAAAGAAACCCCTTATAAACCAATTAAAACAGCTGAATTCACATAATAAAATCGGTCTCTATAGAATTTATATTAAGAATAGAGAAAATAATATTTAATAAACAATTGATTGAATCATATTATTGCTAGCCTATTGTGAGACTAAGCCCACCCCGTCCCCCTTAGTGTAGATAATATCATTTATTTAAAAAAAATAAATCATTTGACAATTAATTTAATCACATTATTATCTGTATGTAAAAGACCATTTTTATAACTGGCATTACACACCTCGTAAGATGCTTTAAACGTGTTTAAAAATAGAGAAAATAATATTTAATAAATAATTGATTGAATCACATTATTACTAGCACATTGTGAGACTAAGCCCACTTCTCTCCCCCTTAGTGTAGATAATATCGTTTGTTAAAAATAAAAAAATAAAAAAAATCATTTGATAACTTACCACATTGTTATCCGTGTGCGAAAAACATTTGTTATAACCAGCATTACACGCCTCTTAATATGTTTTGAATGTGTTTAAAAATAAAGAAATTGAATCACATTATTGCTAGCTTATTGTAAGGTACTAATTAAAAAAGAGCACCAAAAAATAAATTATTAAAGAAATATTGTTAAAATGATGAAAATGCCCCTACCTTATTTGATGTATTTATTTTGGAATGCCTTTGAAGTTTTTTTTTTTTAGGGCATTTTTGTCCAAATATTTTTGTTAAAGCATGGTGACACCAAATCACTATTCACCTTTTCCATTCTCTTTATATATAATGGATTGGAACGCTAAGTGTTCACTTAATCGGAGGCTTTTTTTGCGAGGATGTGAAGGTGAGAGAGTTAGGTTGTTAACTGGTGTTATGATGGAATTTTGGGTTTGTTTGGAAGTGTTTAAAATAATTGAAGGCACTTATAAAAAAATGTTTTTTTGCTCCAAAAGCACTTGAAGTGCTTTTATAGGAAAGACTTCAGGTGTGTTTCAGGAAGCACTTGTATTTTTGCTGATGATTGCTTCCAAAAATATTTTTACTAAAAATGCTTTAAACCCTTTTAAAAGTACTTCGAATCGAGCTCTTTAACTTTTTATGGTATTAGAGTCAGGTTGGTGGATGTGTGAAACCCAACAGCCATAAGTGTTTCACGTCATTCGATTAGTGTTGTCCATATGTTAGGGTTAAAAATTCGTCAAATATGAAAAAAAAAAAAAAGGACTTTTCATGGATTTTGAAGTTGGCTACTCCTACCTACTGGTAGTCTATCACAAACTCTTTTGTTAGCTAAAATGACACATTAGTAACCATACCGATGTTGTCTTTCAACTTGCGTTTTACATGTACAACATGGCAAGTGTGAGAGTCTTGTCATAAAAGACTTTGATAGAATTCTTGGGAATATGGGATTTTTTTTCATTTTAATCAAGAATATGATAAGGAGTAATGCAACATTTACCATATTTTTTATACCACGTTTATACTATCTCTCTAATAAAGGTATAACCCACCAATAAATGTATGTCCATTTCCGTTAAAAATGTGGTGCAAATGTGGTATAAAAAATATGGTTGAAGTAGCATTTTTGTCTGATGAAGGATGAAAAAATTTAAAATATATAATAAGGGTATAAAGATAATAAGAGGCCTATTTTAAGTGAGGCCTTAAGCACGTTGTTCGCCTTACCTATGGGCCATCTCTGCCAATTATTGTTGTTGCCAGTGTTGCCCTAACAAAATGCTTTCGTAGTTAATGTTCGTTCTTATCTTTATGCATTTCACTGCTCCATCCAAAAATTTCATATGTACCTACTGTACTTAAATGTGATTTGTTTTACACCGCCCAGGTTTGAGTTTTAGGATTTGACCATGGACGGTTTTGTAGCATTTTTGTTTAAAAACCGTTGGAGAATAGGATCTCATATCGGGCGTATGATAAAATAATATACAATTAATATATGAGAATTTACATTCCTAATATCATCGAAACTTTTTGTGATAAAACACAACACCTAGCAAATAAGTGGTTAAGTTAGGACAATATTGGTGATATTAGCGGTGAATCATGTTGGGCCTAAAAGTTTATCCTGGTATCAAATCAGGCTATTCTTTCGAAACGTCATGAGTTGGGATCTTGAAAAATTGTGGTAGCTCCAACTTAAGGATATTAAATGACTCGGCATTCAAAAATTTGCATTGGCTCTAATGAATGACTGTTGACTGGCCTTTTGAAAAGCTATGCTAAGTCGGGTATAATAACTTGATATGTTCCCAATGTAGGAATTGGTTTCTCTTGTAACCTCATATAATTAAGGTCATGCGTGAAGGGGCGTGTTCAAGAATAGAATGCCACATCGTGCATATGACAAAATAACATACAATTAATAAATGAGAGTTTCTAGCCCTAATGTTACCAAAATTTTTTCTGATAAAGCTTAACACCTAGCAATAGGTGGTTAAGTTAAGAACAATATCGATGGTATTGGTGATGGCAATACTGAACCTGAACGGTTATCAAAAAGTCATTTGAAACTCGACTGGTTTGCTCATGATTTTGGCTGGCGTGGAGATTATTTGGGTTTGATCGTGATAGTCGATCTCATCCTAATGACGTTTTTGGATTTTCAAACCCACCTGAAGAATAATCTCACCAACATTTTTCTTCTTTTTGAAAAGAGTAATGCTATGGAGACTAAATTTGTAGACTAAATTTTGTAAACTAAATGACATAAAAATTGGTGATTGTATGACGTTTTTGGATTTTCAAACCCACCTGAAGAATAAACTCACCAACATTTTTCTTCTTTTTGAAAAGAGCAATGCTAGGGAGACTAACTTCGTAGACTAAATTTTGTGAACTAAATGATATAGAAGTTGATGATTGAATTATTACTTAATCGTTGATAAAAGTGCTCATTTTTTATTGGTGACACCTCATTTAATTTGCTAATGTAGTCTACAAATTTAGACTTCCTAACATTACTCTTTTGGAAACTTTGTCAAGATAAACAAAATTAGTATTTTGGATGAGCAATAGGGTTTCTTGGCAATGTGAACTTTCCTTATTTAACTACTCAACTTTGCTAACCAAGATTAAACCGGTGCACATGACTGGCACGTCACCTGGTAATATTGCTAAAACATGGAGTACACAGGATATTATAGAGGATTAGGGTTTTACGAATTCAGTATGACGGATATACAGGGTCAACATGAAAAGTTGTATCTTGTATGGGTAAGAAAGCATGGGATCCGTCCTGATTCTGAGCTTTATTCTTTTCCGTCGGATTGCTTCTTTATGCCAAATGAGCCATGATATCTCCGGATAGCCCTACGTACATATCAAGTGCGATTACACATCAAAAAGCTCCTTAGTGCGATTCTGGGTGAATGAAATAATTTCAAACCCTCTAGATTCCTACAAAGGACTGAGCAAGTGGTCTTGATATGTAACTTCAATCTAGTGCGTTGCAGTTCAGTGTATATCGTTCATTTTTGTAGTAAAAAGACGGCAGGGAAAATCTATACCAGCCATTATTACCGGTTCTAATCAGTTAAATCAACAATAGTTTTTATCCCTGCTTTCTTTCCCATGAAGGGGCAAATAAAATATTCCACTTCGAACTCTAGAACTCAATAGCTGGTGTTTCACGATCAGTATTGGAAATGAACGGAGGAGCGATGGAACGTGCAGAGCCACATGTTGGATCACTCCAATGCGGCATGAAGCTGCTGATGCCGAGTCGGCTCCTATGCCACTAGCTATGCCCAGTTTGGTCCCTCGGCACAGTGTATATTATTTTGCAAAAGAATTTTATAATATTCAGAATAGACTCAAATAAACAACTAAGAGATCACTTAACTATATATTGACTAATTAATGTATGCGATTAATTTTGATTTGTTGAGTAAGAAATTCCAACAAACAATTTGTGTTGAAGAAGTCAAGGAGCCACCTAAGAAAGAGCAAGGAAGCCCCTAGAAATGAACTATGAGTTGTAACCATTAAACCACTTGGTGGGTGACACATCAGAAAGAAACTTTAGTGGGACCCCAGGGATTTTTTTTGTACGTACCAGGAGTAGTAGTTGCACTAGGGTTTAACCGGTGTGAGGCCGTTCACGTTTAGGAGAGAAAAGACTAAGTAGGGAAAATATAGGGCAATAGGGGCTAGCTAAAAAAGCTGTTTGGATTATGTAAACGTCAAAAAGCCCAAATGAACAACTGGAAAGTTAACCCTAGAGTGTTACAATGATATTGCTTCGCACTTTTTTTGCATGCAACTTGATATCCCTCAAATTCGTGACCCTTCGATCTCCCAGCTCCTCTTTGTATAAATAGATCACACCCTTTGCTTCTAAGCATGTCTTGTGTTGAGAAGTATAAGATAGCAGTTGTGCAGTAAAACTCTCTTGTTGTCACTGCGTGAGCAAGGGATCATAGAGTGAGTGAAACAAAGAGAGCCTTCCAATCTTTTGGTTGTAATCCAAGGATATGGCACTTCACCACACTTTGACTTTGGCCTTTGGCCTCTTAGGTATTGTAGCTCATGTGTCCCTTCTGCCTCCTTTTCTTTTTCACCAACTGATCAATGGTCACAACTAATTAATGCACGCTACATAATATTGCTTGTAGTATGTGTTAAATAAGTTCTCTTTAAGATTTCAAGTTTAATTACAAACCAATTTTTGGTAAATTATAATTTGCCAAGACTAATATATTTTTTACCTTGTCCCTTTTTCAATTCTTTTGTCGTAGGCAATATCATCTCCCTTTTGGTCTTTCTTGCTCCAGTGTAAGTGGCCAATGTATTAACTACTCCATGGAAAATTTTCAAATTTTTGTATGCGTACGTCCTTGCTAATGAGAACAACGATGGTTGTAATTGCAGGCCAACTTTTTATACAGTTTACAAGAAAAAAACAACTGAAGGGTTTCAAGCACTTCCATATGTAATTGGGCTCTTGAGTTCAATGATGTACATATACTATGCCCTCCTTAAGGAAGAGCTGAAAGAGGATGCCACTCTTGTCCTCACAATCAACTCGGTTGGCTGCGTCATAGAGACTATTTACATTTCCCTCTTCCTTTTCTATGCCCCTAAGAAGGCCAGGGTATGTATTGGTTGTCTAGAACACTAACAGTCTTCAAATGTTTTTCATTATTCTAGTTTGAAGCTTACATATGGGTTTTATTTGGCACTTGCAGATCTCAACCGCGATGCTTCTGTTCTTGCTGAACCTTTTCAGTTACGGCATGATGGTTGTTTTGACTCGCTTTCTAGCCACAGGTGAAACACGTTTTAAGATTGTGGCATGGATTTGTCTTGTGTTCAGCCTAAGCGTATTTGTCGCACCTCTTGGTGTCCTGGTAATTAGCAACTTCGACCTAAAACAAATCTTACCTATTTGTAACATCTCAACTAACCGTGCTGTAATATCATTTTGGAAGAGGTAGTACTTCCAAAGAAGGTTTTTGTTTCTTCCAGGGGTAAATTAATTTCTTAAGATGACATTGGTAAATTTGTGCAGAGACAAGTAATACGGACCAAGAGTGTTGAGTTCATGCCATTTCCGTTATCATTTTTCCTAACATTAGGTGCAGTCGCATGGTTCTTCTATGGTTTTCTGATCAAGGACTACTACATAGCTGTAAGTGAACCTTGGTAGTTTACATATATAAGCTTACATGTACAAGTTACATGCATGTAACATGCAGGCGTGAAGAATTATATTAATTTTATCCCTTTAATTTGAAACTTTCTCTATATATTATTATATTAATCTTTTGTGTTCCTCTTGGTTTATCGGACAAACAGTTTCCAAACATGCTGGGCTTCCTCTTCGGGGTTGTTCAAATGGTGGTTTACGTAGTCTACAAGAATGCAAAGAAATTCCTGGAAGATCAGCCAAAAGTTCAAGAATTATCGGAGCACATTATTGATGTGATGAAGATCAATACTTTGGTGTGTCCGGAACTGAGTCCTGCAGTGATTCTGAATCCAACTGTGGACATTACAAATGACATGATTGAAGTGGTTCAAAATATAATTGTCATGGCTGAAAACACAGAAAAAACCAAGGAAGCTGCCATTGATGATGATTTCTCCACCAAAGTTTGAACCCAAAATTGAAGGGACGTGCACATGTTATAAGGTTTTTAAGTCTTCAAGATAAGCATAGTTCCTTCTGTTTTAAGTTTGCCCTAATTGAAGTTTAATTTGTGTGTTGGTTTAATTAACTGTGCTCTAAGGCGTAGGAGCCATGGGCGTATCTGTGTTATGTATCCCCCTCTAATCTCCCAGTCTTTCAGTATCTCTGTTCCCTTAAAGCTCTGTAGCTATCTGATGTAGCTAGCTTTGTATTAGCTTTAAATTAATTGAGCTTATTTCAATTAATGTATTAAGGAGATATTATTACTAGTTAACTACATGCTCTAGATTTTTTTTTCCTTTTCTTTTGAGGGCTCTTCACAGATAATTCCTTAAAACTCCAACTTCAAGGCAAAAGCAAAACTGACGAACCCAATTATTATCGCACTCGTCAACATTAACAATTGGTAGATAGGTTAGATCTTTTCTATAGTTTAATTCTTGAACTGTTATGCACTAACATTAACCATTCTTAGACAGACTACACAAACTAAAGTATTTTCCAATGAACTTTCTAAAATGCTCATCTTTTGGGATGTTCAAGGTAAAAAGCTAGCTATGGTATGATCAAATTCCAGAAAAACCAAAACAAATAGAAAAAACTTATCAAGTACGATATAACTCAATTTAGAATGGTTGTTGCTGGAACATATCTTAATCTGATTTTTTTTTTTTTCACAAACGAAAATGACACTTAGATTAATAAACTTGGCGAAAAATAATGCATCATAGACTATAATTTTCTCACTTACTTTTATAATTATTCCAATTATGTCAAACTAATTTACTATCATGGATAAAAATTTAAAAAAATTAAAAAAAAAAAAAGTCACCAACACAGAAAATGTCTCACCGTAACATAAACTAAAAGTTGGCAAAGAATTTTTTTTTCTTGCAAGCCTATCCACTTGAAGTTAAATTTTTGCCGACATTAAGTTAGCTAGCTTTTTTTAGGAAATTTCAGTGGGTGAGACGCGGACAAACCCTAGCAGCCAGAACGAAACAACACAATCTCTCTCTCTCTCTCTCTCTCTCCATGCTATTGCATGTAGCTAGTGTTGAATGACTCGAAAGATTACACACCGGGCCGATCTGAATGGGCCCACCTAAACACATCTAGCTAGGGAACAAAATCACCCATATACATGAGTTTGGAATCTGCAAAGATCAGAATATTCTTCCCAAGTGAAAGGTAACTCACTGTACTTAATTATAGGGCAAAGGCTTTTCATTTTCCACGTGAGATATACATCACGTGTTGATTTAAAGGTATTCATATAATTAAAATAAGCTAAGACCAATGTTACTCAAACTCAGTTTACCTTAGTCGGAACATGATATGTTTAGGTAATTAGGATCTTCTTACGTCCGGGGTTCAAATTTTCAAATTCTTCCCCCTTCTCCAAACTTTTTTTTATAGAACAAACGATATTATCTACACTAAGAGGGAGAGGGTAAGCTTAGCCTCACAATGGGCTAGTAATAATGTGATTCAAATTCGTCATTAGCGAGAATCAAACCTAAAACCTCTCACTTACAAGTGAAGAGTAATACCATTAGACCGTAGTACTAAGTGGCCTCTCTCCGATATTTAAATTAAAGTAATAACATCACTCATATTCAAGGGAAATAAATTAATATATTTCAAATCTAGTAAGACTTGTGAGCAGTACATAAAGTGACTAGGGAACCACATTAAACCCCATAAAATTTCTCCTAACAAGTGCAACGTAACATAAGTAGGAAAATAATCCAACAACATTTTCCCTCGCATCTAGTGTATTTTGAGCCAAATTTGTGATCAATGTGTGTATGTTAAGCCTGACACATGAATTAGCTTGAATTGATACTCTCTTTTTTAATACAAGTGATATTTTTACTCTAAACTATACTAATAAGTGGAGAAGGCGGAGAGTTTGAACTTTGAACCTATAACGCAATGAACTAAAAAAAATATCATAACCAGGGCAATCAACCACTAATAGTTTCATACTATCTTAGAAATAAGGTATTCAACAGCCAAAACCAATTAAAGGGCCCAAGATACCATACATTGATGCCTAATGTTTATAGTGATTCCTGATGTGGGAACATATTCAAAATTCACACAATTTTATACATAACTACTTTTCTGGTTCTTGATGGGGAAGAATTCGAAGAAATATAATTCTAGGGCACCAGTCACTGCCAGTGAAACTGATTGATCAGATTCTTCATCCATATAACAAAAACTTTAGGCCACATTCCACCACAAATTTAAGGATTGCTTCAAGTATAACCACCATGACCAACTTTTCATGTTAAATAATCTGGTGGATTCCACTGTACTTGCTTCCCCAACATTTGGTAGTTCCTTTCCCTGATGTGATAGATGACTCTCCTTTTTAACAAGTTGGGGGGATTCGGGTTTTGAAGAACTTGTGATTCAAATTACACCACTGTTGCGCAAAACTTTGTTAGTAGATATCCAGCAGTGTTTAGTAATTAAAAACCCACCAATGAAATATGCGTACTCTTGATTATATTTGCACGTTTTCTCATTGCAAATCTTTATTTCTGAATGCCAAAAAATTAGGTCTCTCTCTCTATAATACTAAAGAGAAATAGCTCGCAAGTTAACATGCCTCATTTTTATCACGCAAGTTGGCTAGATCATGTAACAGTTGATATGTTAAGTATCGGTACCAACTAACTCTTAAGTCTAGAGCTACTTAATCCATAGTAGGTTTCAAGTATGAATCCGGCTCCTCTAGTAATAGAACAGTATCAATTGATTACAATATATACTTGACCTAGCTAATAAGTACAAATCAATTGTATGACCAGAATGGTTTCAATTTCAACTCCCCATTTGTCGTCTAGTGCTTAATCTCTTCTCTGCCTCGACTGGGTTTTAAGTTCGAGTACTCTCTCCTCCACAGATAAGACATTATCTACTGATCATAATAACTGATCTAATAAATACACATTAATTGTCACATAATATGATAAGCTAATGGTTGGAAAACATAATCACGCTAGCCCGTGGTTTCTCTCTTTGTCGACGTTGTTTCTCAAAAGGTATGTGAAATGAACGGCGGTGGCCAAAGGTCATTTTCAGGAGAAGCATGCCTAAGTTTGGGTAGGTAACCATGCCTGACCCTACCTTGTGACTGCTTGCAATGCATGAGATCATGAGGGTGAAGTAACCCACTACTACTGTACTAATGTGCCTTGATTGATCATCCGAAAGCCTGAATCTTCGTATCAATGATAAAAAGTTTACTGTCAACATGTTATGATTTTTGGACTTGGCTTTTCTGCCTTCCCAGTTCTCATACACTCTCATCCGTTTTTATTTTGTGTGGTCACGGTTAAGTCACGTCAACATTTTATATTAAACTTTTTATAGAGATAATTAGACAAAAAGCAATAGTGATATACAATATTGACGTGGCTTAACTGTGACCGCATAAATATGAGAGGATGAGAGTGTATGGAAACTGGAAGGGCAGAAAAGTCAGGTCCATGATTTTTCTTTTGTTTGTCCTTTTCCCCCATTTTGTTGAAGATTCTTATTCTTTCTTTCTGGTCAACTTGTTAACGGTGCTTAAATTACCTAGGGTTTTTAGACCAGGTGGTGTCATGATTATCCCACAATCCCATAGGGCAATCACTTTTAACTTTTTTTTATTCATTTCGTTTGTAAAATTTGAACGTGAGACCTCTTCCAACAAACTAGAGATCGGAATTGTAATGGAAAATAAATTTATTAGGATACAAAGTGCATCTGTATACATTTCTTCACAAAATTTGTGGTACTGGGCCTTAAATTCTTGTTGAAAGGAGCTATTACGATAAAGAAAACAAAAGGCTTAGGAGTTATGGATTACACAAATGGTTAGCTAAGGGATGCCCAATCAGGATATGGGCATTCATAAGTCCATCCCGGTGCGGAATACCGAACACAGTGCAGCCACAAGGCCTCTTCATAAACATCGTATCTGCAACAAATAGAATTTTAGTGGAAAACAGTCGAAAATAAAATTTATACGGTTAGAAAGAATATGCATCAAAGAATTTTTTCATGTAGACTACGTGTGACAGAAAAGATAAGTTGTACCCTTTTGGAACCAAATTCGGACAATTTGTACACATGGGATCAATGCTGAAATCTTCATTGGAATCTACAGGTTCAGTGGATAAATTTTCGCGAAAGCCAGATGGCGGAGAGGGGCTGGAATTTGCAGCAGCTCTATCAGCACCCATTCCTTCAGTTGAACGACCATTAACATGTTTGGACAGGTAAAGCGCGTCATTGGCTATCGGATAGCCTAAATGTTGCAAATGGACACGTATCTACATCACAGAAAAGCGGAGATCATTGATCTTTTAGTCAATTCAAATCATTGCTTCAGAATTCAGACCAATAGGAATAAAAATGTAGAGCTATGTCCTTAGAGTTTAAAAGATATCAAAATTCAAAAAACAAAATGGAAGGCTGAGTCGTAAGAACAGAAGCATAGCAAAAGTTCACTGAAATGAACTGCGAACGAAAAATTACCAAAGGGAACCAAAAATAAAAGCATACGATGCATATTGCAAACTTACTGTCCGGATTTGAAAAGGGAGATAATTTTCCATTTCAAAAGCAAACTGTTCAAAATCTGTTGTTACATTGCCCATATAATCAGTGTATTGACTTACTTGATGAGTTCGGCCAGTGACTGGCTCGCACAAGACAAGACTATGGATTCCATTGGTACTGAGTCTGGTAAACTTTGTACAGGCAGTCTTCCCCTTGACGGGAGTATCATCACCTGAGTGACTAATCTGCATAAACAAGAGATGGTTATCATCCAGTATGGGCGCTTCATACGTTTCGGTATATAATTCAAAATATCAATCGGAGAAGACCAGTTAACAATGGGTTTACCCATGGCAGGAAGTTTCAGACAATCAACTTTAACAACATAACAGAAGTTTATCGAAACTACTAAAAAATCATATGGTTTAAATAGAAGCTACTAGCATCATGCACATTATAACCCACCTCTGTTGTGCTCCTACATTCTCGAGCATCATGATTAACATTAGCATCTACAACTTGCTGGAGGAAGAGACAAAAACAATCAGTCAATCCTAACATTAAGACCAGTAATTTTAACATCCAGCTTTAACAAAAGCAAACCTCTTGCTCAGGAAATTCCCCAGCAACTCTTGCAATGTACTGTTTCTGGACCATCCCTCCTTCAATCTGCAACAATTGCATTTGACATTCAGAAAATCTAGAGTTAAA